AAAATACTCCAATACAATATAAACTCTAATTTATAGAATGAGCCTCTATTTGAATGCTTGAGTTCAAATTTGAATATCAGTGGAAACAGTTGTTGCATTGTCTTTTGTTTATGAAATATAAAAAAGTTTATGATTACAAATTGTGTTAGTTTTTGAAATTATTCAGTGGAACGTTCTGAATTTACATGGCATTTTCCTATATTTTAAAAATACCATATTCACCTTTCTATTACCTCATGAATATTTTTTTCAGAGATGGTAATATAGCTATACTTTCCCTTTTTTGGCATTTCCATATTCATATTCTTTATCTAATTCAATTTGAACCTCACAACCACCTAAGGAATATAGGACAGTTTTTCTGACCTCTTTTTGTTAACTGAGAGACTTGAACCTTAGAGAAGTTAAGCTACTTAGAAGCATAAATTGTTAGGATTTTAAGATCTCTGAGAGCGGCCTCTTTCTTTGACAAATGAGGAAGCTGAGGCCCAAAGAAGTCACACAGTTAAAGAAGTTATTACCTTTATAACATATCTATTTTTTGTAGAGCTGGGACCAGAATATGTCTCTGAAATCTTAGTTTGGTATGCTTGAAACAACCTAGAAGCTATCTCTAAATGGTAGTTGTGGATTAAAAAGTGTGTACACTTTGTTAATTTCCTAAACACTTCTCCTGTATTAGAGAAGTTAAATAGATCAGAACATATATAACCTGTACTTTTTTTTTTGAGACAGTCTCACTCTGTTGCCCAGGCTAGAGTGCTATGGCATCAGCCCAGCTCACAGCAACCTCAAACTCCTGGGCTCAAGCAATCCTTCTGCTTCAGCCTTCTGAGTAGCTGGGACCACAGGCATGCACCACCATGCCCGACTAAATTTTTCTATATATTTTTAGTTATCCAGCTAATTTCTTTCTATTTTTATTAGAGATGGGGTCTCACTCTTTCTCAGGCTGGTCTTGAACTCCTGAACTCAAATGATTCTCCTGCCTTGACCTCCCAGAGTACTAGGATTACAGGTGTGAGCCACCATGCCCAGCCAATATAACCTATACTTTTAAACTGCCATTATATAAGAATAAACATTTATTAAATATTTACTAAATACATAATATGTGACAGAATAATACTAAGTGCCAGGGATAAAAGATGAATAAGACATTGCACTATTCTCAATTTACACTCCACATTTACAATTTAGTGGAGAGGTAGACAGATAACTGTGAAGTTCTGTATTAATTTTCTGTTGCTGCATAAAAAATTAGCTAAAACTTAGCAGCTTAAAACAACACAGGTTTATTATGTGACAGTTTCCATGGGTTAGGAATCTGGGCATGGCTTTGCTTGGTTCTCCACTCAGGGTTTCGCAAGACTGCAATAGAAGTGTCTGCTGGGGCTGGGATCTCCTCTGAGCCTCAGTGTCCTCTTCTAAGCTCATGTGACTATTGGTAGAATTACTTTCTTTGCTGCTGTAGAACTCATGGTGATTTGCTTCTTCAAAAGTAGCAGGATAAACAGTCTCTGATCTTTTTAAATCTCTGACCTACAGATTGTATTTTAAAGACACCTGATTAGGTCAAGTCCATCAAGAATGTCTCTCTTTTAATTAATTAAAAATTAACTGATCAGGAACTTTAGCTATATCTGAAAATGATGCCTTCACCTTTGCCATATGATGTAACCTAGCCATGGTAGTAACATATATTGTATTCATAGGACATGTCCAAACTCAAGAGGAGGGAATTATTCAGGACATGTACACCATGGGATTACAGAGATCTGGGGACCAACTTAGAAGTTTGCCTACCACTGTAGGCAATTTGATTACCTACCATTGTAATCAAATTATGGTTTAAAATTTATTTTAAATCTAATAAATAAAATGTATCTAACATAGCTTTACTTTTGAGTCTTAAATGTATCAATGAAACCTACCAATCATGTTTAAATTTTATTAAATTTTAATTACAAAGGAATGTAGAAATACACTCTTGGATATAGAATGATGGTTACCAGAGGCTGGGAAGGAAGTGGGGAGGGGAGGATAAAGTGGGAATGGTTAATAGGTGAAAAAATATAGTTAGGTAGTTAGAATGAACAATATTTTATAGCACAACAAAGTGACTATAATCAAAAATAAGTTAGGCATAATTTAAAACAACTAAAAGAAGAGAATTGGAATGTTGCTAACAGAAAAAAATGATAAATGTCTGAGGTGATGGATACCCCAATTACCCTGATTTGATTAATACACATTGTATTCCCATACCAAAACATCACATGTACTCTATAAATATACATTATGTTATATGCCCATAATAATGAAAAATTAAAAAAATTCAAAAATAAAAAAAAAGAGAAAAGAAATACAGTCTTGGAAAAATTCAGGCCTTAAGGATAAAGCTGAATTTCCCCAGCCCATCACCCGTAATTCTAGTCACATCCCCAGAGGAAACTGCTGTTAATAGTTTGGTGCAGATCCTTTCAGACTTTTACTTATGCATATTTATACATGCATGTATAAACAACAGGCTCCTGAATGACCATTGAGTCAACAAAAAAATTAAGATAGAATAAAAAATTTCTTGAAACAAATGAAAATGAAAACACAAAATATGAAAACCTTTGGGACACAGAAAATGCAATGCAAAGAGGGAAGTTTATAATAATAAATGCCTACGTTTAAAAAAAAACAGATTTTAAATGAAAAATCTAACAATGCAACTCAAGGAACTATAAAAGTGCAGTCAGACAAAACCCACAATTAGCAGCAGAAAAGAAATAATAAAGTTCAGAGTGGAACTAAACCAAACAGAGAGTTAAAAAAAAGAATATAAAAGATCAACAAAACAAAAAGCTGGTTCTTTGAAAAGATAAACAAAATTTATAAAGAGTTAACTAGACCACCAAAAATAGAGAAGATGCAAATAAAATTAGAAATGAAAATGGAGACATTATAACTGATACCATAGAAACATAAAAGATTATCAGAAACTATTACAAATAACTATATGCTAACAAATTGGACAACCTGGAGAAGACAAATAAATTTCTGGAAACATACAACCTAGCAAGATTAAATCAAAAATAAATAGAAATCCTGAACAGACTGATAATGAGTAGTGAGATTCAACCAGTAATAAAAAGTCTCTGAAAAAAGAAAACCCAGGACTGAAAGTTTGTGTAATTTTACCAAATGTATAAAGAAGAACTAATACCAATCCTCAAACTATTCCAAAAATTCAAGATGACCCTAAGCTGTGCTACAAAACAGCATTACCCTGAGATCAAAACCAGACAAGTACACAACAAAGAAAGAAAACTATGGGCCAATATCCCTGATGAACATAGAGGCAAAAATCCTCAACAAAATGCCAGCAAACCAATCCCAACAGCACATCAGAAAGATAATACACCATGAAGTAGGTTTTATTTCAGGGATGCAAGGATATCTCAACATATGCAGACATGGTAATCACATAAAAAGAATGAAACTAAAAAACCATATGATCATCTTAGGCGTGAAAAAAAGGATTTGAGAAAATTCAACACTCTTTGTGGTAAAAACATTCAACAAACTAGGAATAGGAGGACCACATTCATATTATAACTAAGAAGGAGCCCAAATAGCCAAAGAAATCCTGATCAAAATGAACAAAGCTAGAGGCACCACACTACCTGACTTCAAAACATACTCCAAATGTATAGTAACCAAAAGAGTATGGTATTTTTATAAAAGTAGAGCAATGGATTGGAATAGAAAACCAAGAAATAAATCCACATATTTATAGCCAACTGATCATCAAAGCTGCCAGTAACATACTTGGGAGAAAGGACATCATTTTCATTGAAATGGTGCTAGGAAAACTGGAAAACCATATACAGAAGTATTAAACTGGAACCCTATCTCTCACCATATACAAAAGTCAACTTAAGGCTCATTTTCTTTTCTGTATGCTTTGGTGGCTCCTTTTCTTCTACCTATTGCTTAAATTTTAATGTTTTTCAAGATTATTTCCTAAGCTCGCTTTTCTTACTTTGTATCTTTCATGGGTCAGCTCTGACTCCGTCAACTTCTTATTATACGTTGGTTACTTACCATCCATATGTATTTTTAATCTAGATGTATTTCCTAGGCTACAGACTTGTATTTCCAGTTGGTGCCTAGAAATTTCTTCCTGGATAGGCCACAATTTGTGAACTTGGCATATTCAGAATTGAACCCTACTCCCTACTCTGTTCTTAATTTTTCTTTTTTAACTTTTTTTTTTTTTTTTTGAGACAGAGTCTTGCTCTGTTGCCCGGGCTAGAGTGCTGTGGCATCAGCCTAGCTCACAACAACCTCAGACTCCTGGGCTCAAGCAATCCTGCCTCAGCCTTCCGAGTAGCTGGGACAACAGGCATGCATCACCATGCCCAGCTAATTTTTTCTATATACTTTTAGTTGGCCAATTAATTTCTTTCTATTTTTTTAGTAGAGACGAGTTCTTGCTCTTGCTCAGGCTGGTTTCAAACTCCTGACCTTGAGCGATCCACCCACCTCAGCCTCCCAGAGAGCTAGGATTACAGGCATGAGCCACCGCGCCCAGCCCCTACTCTGTTCTTTCTAGTCTCTTTTTTTCAACAGTCATTCAATAAGTCCTTTGAGGGATCTCAGACCTTTCCTGTTTTCTCACTTCATGTCCAGTCAGTTCTACTTCTCAATATCACTTATTTCTGTCTTCATTACCACTGTTTAGCTCAGGTCCTCTTCATTTCTGCTTTGTGGTACCTATAACTTTTGACAGCTTGTTTCTTCCTCCTGTTTCTCTTTCTCCAATTAATTCTCTACACTGTTGCCAGAGAAGGTTTGCCAAACATTTTTGTCATATCACTTCTCTGCTTGAAATGAATTAGTGCTTTCCCAGCATCTTTAGGGTGCCTTTTTCAAATTCCTTAACAGCTTAAGTAGAATCTTAAGAGATGTGTTCCCTGACCTTCCCTCCTTATCCTCCCTTCTGAGGTGTGGGAGTTGATGGAGGCAATGACAAGGATTGGGAAGCTAATGCTTGCAAAATCCAGCTCATTAAGAAGAAAGGAAAAGTTAAGGCACTGGATGAAGAAGTTCACAAGCAACAGGATGTGGATTTGGATATAGAATTTGATGTACACCTTGGAATAGCTCATACCCATTGGGCAACACATGGAGAACCCAGTCCTGTTAATAGCCACCCTCAGCGCTCTGATAAAAATAATGAATTTATTGTTATTCACAATGGAATCATTACCAACTACAAAGACTTGAACAAGGTTTTGGAAAGCAAAGGCTATGACTTTGAATCTGAAACAGACACAGAGACAATTGCCAGGCTTGTTAAGTATATGTATGACAATCGGGAAAGTCAAGATACCAGTTTTACCACCTTGGTGGAGAGAGTTATTCAACAATTGGAAGGTGCTTTTGCACTTATACTTAAAAGTGTTCATTTTCCTGGGCAAGCAGTTGGTACAAAGTGAGGTAGCCCTCTGTTGATTGGTGTTCGGAGTGAACATAAACATTCTACTGGTCACATTCCAATACTCTACAGAACAGGCAAATATAAGAAAAGAAGCTGCAATCTCTCTTGTGTGGACAGCACAACTTGCCTTTTCCCTGTTGAAGAAAAAGCAGTGGAGTATTACTTTGCCTCCGATGCAAGAGCCGTCACAGAACACACCAATCACATTATCTTTCTAGAAGATGATGATGTTGCAGTAGTGGTGGATGGCCGTCTTTCTATCTATCGAATTAAACGGACTGCAGGAGACCACCCTGGACAAGCTGTGCACGCACTCCAGATGGAACTCCAGCAGATCATGAAGGGCAACTTCAGTTCATTTATGCAGAAGGAAATTTTTGAGGAGCCAGAGTCCGTTGTGAACACAATGAGAGGAAGAGTCAACTTTGATGACTATACTGTGAATTTGGGTGGTTTGAAGGATCACATTAAGGAAATCCAGAGGTGTCGACGTTTGATTCTTATTGCTTGTGGAACAAGTTACCATGCTGGTGTAGCAATACGTCAGGTTCTTGAGGAGTTGACTGAGTTGCCTGTGATGGTGGAGCTAGCCAGTGACTTCCTGGATAGAAACACACCAGTCTTTTGAGATGATGTTTGCTTTTTCCTTAGTCAATCAAGTGAGACAGCAGATACCCTGATGGGTCTTCAGTACTGTAAGGAGAGAGGAGCTTTAACTGTCAGGATCACAAACACAGTCAGCAGTTCTATATCAAGGGAGACAGATTGTGGAGTTCACATTAACACTGGTCCTGAGATTGGTGTGGCCAGTACAAAGGCTTATACCAGCCAGTTTGTATCCCTTGTGATGTTCGCCCTCATGATGTGTGATGACAGGATCTCCATGCAAGAGAGACGCAAAGAGATCATGCTTGGATTGAAACGGCTACCTGATTTGATTAAGGAAGTACTGAGCATGGATGATGAAATTCAGAAACTGGCAACAAAACTTTATCATCAGAAGTCAGTCCTGATAATGTGATGGGGCTATCATTATGCTACTTGTCTTGAAGGGGCACTGAAAATCAAAGAAATTACTTACATGCACTCTGAAGGCAACCTTGCTGGGGAATTGAAACACGGCCCTCTGGCTTTGGTGGATAAGTTGATGCCTGTTATCATGATCATCATGAGACATCACACACCAAGTGTCAGAATGCTCTTCAGCAGGTGGTTGCTCCGCAGGGGCGCCCTGTGGTGATTTGTGATAAGGAGGATACTGAGACCATCAAGAAAACAAAAAGAACAATCAAGGTGCCCCACTCAGTGGACTGCTTGAAGGGCATTCTCAGTGTGATCCCCTTGCAGTTGCTGGCTTTCCACCTAGCTGTGCTGAGAGGCTATGATGTTGATTTCCCATGGAATCTTGCCAAATCTGTGACTGTAGAGTAAAGAGCATCTGAAACGCCAGATGATTAAGCAACACAAGACACCTTTTGTATTTAAAACCTTGATTATTACCCCTTGAAGCCTTTTTAAAGTAAATCCTTATTTATATATCAGTTATAATTATTCTACTCAATTTGTGATTTTTGTGAAATTACCTCTTATATTTTTCCAGTAATTTGTGGAGGAGTTTGAATAATGGAATCTATATTGGAATCTGTATCAGAAAGATTTTAGCTGTTATTTTCTTTAAAGAATGCTGGATGTTGAATTTCTAGACCCTCCACTTCAATCTGAGAGGATAGGATGTTTTAAAAATAATTAGCATTTGTTTTACCATGCTTTTATTCATTCAGACCAGTGAAAGAGTAGTGCATTTAATTGAAATATCTAAAGCCCATGGCAATGTATGCTCATGCTTGGATGTTAAATGAAGGTTTTGCTAAGTTATATATAAAAAGAAGATGCTGGCAGGCTTCGCCTCGCTCCCTACCTGGTCGCAGACGTTGCAGACGAGTAGGGTCGACGAGGCTGGGGGCTGCAGCGGGTGGCAGGCGCCGTCATGCCCCGGTATTACGAAGACAAGCCGGAGGGCGCTGCATGCTCGGGCGTGAAGGAGGACCTGGGTGCATGCCTGCTGGAGTCGGACTGTGTGCTCCAGGAAGGAAAATCCCCTCGGCAGTGTTTGAAGGAAGGATACTGCAAAGCTTTGAAATATTCATTTTTTGAGTGTAAAAGATCAATGTTGGATGCCAGATCAAGATTCAGAGGAAGAAAAGGTTATTGATACCATTATTGAAACCAAGATGAAAACAACAAAGGATTTTCTCTGGCCATTAAAACAGAGGAGTCAAAATAGGAAACAGTTTTTGCTACATCTCTTTGGTTGGACTACTTTTTCCTTCCATGGAACACTAGAGAAAATGGATGAGTTGTGTTTTTGAATATATATAAAGTAAATGATTCTCTTGATGTAAGTTAGTTTTAGAAGAAAAATTTAATTTAACAGTTATGGGCTGGGAGCATAATAAATGTGTTTTGAGCATTGTTCTAAAGCACAAAGAATGCACAGACTGTTATTTTCAAACTTGACTCTTCAATCAGGTTACACAATTTGTACATCCTGAAGGCCACTGATACAATCTATAACATGAAACCTGTCCAGAAGATGTCCATTGGGAAAGTTTAGCATAAAACTTTTTCTTTTATTCAACCTGTCTTATTTAGTTCTAAAATAATGTTTGATTCCTTAAAGAAAAAATACTTCATTTGCACTGATTCACTTAAGTTACAGCCTCAGAAGTTTCATATCATCCAGTATAGCTGGATGCCAAGCCTCAAATGATGTTGCCATCATCTCCTGTTTGTTTCCTGTTTTCATTTGCAGGCTGGCCCTCTCCACATAATGGGCCACTGTCAGCTACAAGCCCACATCCTTAAGATCTATGATCCAAAAATGAGAGAACTTCCTTTTCCAGGGTGCACAAATCAAATCCTACACAAGGACTCTGATCTCTGGATCATCTGCCCTTGCATTGGACCAGTTCCTATGGAGAAGAGATGGGGACCTGTGCTCTTGGCCAGGCCTGGCTCAGATGCACTATCAGTGGTAACTCCTGTCAGAATCACATTGGATGAGGGGCCCTTATACTAAAAGGGATTTGGAGCAAACTGAAATAACAGGTGTTCACTAGAGAAAGCAAGAGTAAAAAACACAAAGTGGTGGAAAAAATTTACCATTACAGTAATTTTATTCTAACACTTAATACAATAGAGAGCCAAACAGGAATCCAAGTTTCCAGTTTTATTTTTGTTAATGAAGAATGAAGAGCCATAGCTTCTTTATTCTTCACAGTTCATTGGAGTTAAAGCAATCAAGGTATTATATAGCTCACTTGCATTTTTAAAGGTTCACCCAAAAAGGCTGTGAGAATTCCACACCGGCAAGGATCATTGTTGCAGAATATCACTGAGGTCTGTTATGTGTACTATCATTCACCAGGAAAGGGAAAATGATGGATTTTTCCAATAACTGTTGTATATTTATTTAAATACTACAACTTTTATTAAAAGTGAAAGTCTCTAAAATGTAAAAAAAAAAAAAGAAGATGCTGTGATTTATTTTGAAGCTTGTTTCTAAATCAAACTGTAAAACCTAAAAACTGAAAAATTTTCTTGGTGGAATTTATGTTTGTCAGTTTGGTTAGCATTAGTTCTCAAACTTGTTGCCTTTTATCTGTAGATGAAAATAATTTAGGAAGCAAACTATAGCAGTGCATTGGTATTCTCCAACCCTTGAGAGAACATATTTGCACAATTTCTTAGCACAAACTTTAAATTGGAGATGCTTTGGACAACTGACAATATGATTTTAAATTTGAAGATGTGATATGTTCATTTGGGTATCCTACCCCTTGTGTTTTCATCTCCTAGAAGTGGTTTTTATTTCCTTGTATCTGTAGTCTTTTATTTTTTAAATACTGCTAAATGACATGTTTTATCTTGTTCTTTGAAATCACAACACAAAGCTGCTGTTAAATTTTTAAATTAAATCAATATTGATATATTAAAAAAAAAAACAAAAACAAAAGTCAACTCAAGAAGAAACACTTACAAACTAGAAAACCTAGAGAAAATGGATAAATTTCTGGAAATGTACAACTTCTCATGATTTAACCAGGAGGAAATAAAACTCCTGAACTGAAAAATTAATATCCAGTGAGATTAAATCAGTAATAAAAACGTCTCTAAACAAACAAACAATAAAGCCTAGGAACAGATAGATTCACAGCTGAATTCTAACAAGTATACAAAGGAGAATTAATATCAATCCTCCTGAAATGGTTTCAAAAAATTTAGAAGAGATGGTCACCTCTACTCCACCATCAACATCTCTAACCATTAGGGAAATGCAGATCCAAAACTACAATGAGATCACCTAACCTCAGTGAGAATGGCCCTTATCAAAAACTCCCAAAACAACAAATGCTGGCATGGATGTGGAGAGACAGGAGCACTCTTACATTGCTGGTGGGACTGCAAATTAGTACAATCCCTGTGGAAAGTAATTTGTAGATACCTAAAAGAGCAAAAAATAGAAATACCATTTGATCCAGCAATCCTACTACTAAGCATCTATCCAAAGGGGAGAGGGGACATTGTATAATAAAGACATCTGCATTTGAATGTTTATAGCAGCACAATTCACAATGGCAAAGATGTGGAAACAACCCAAGTGCCCATCAATACATGAGTGGATTGATGAAATGTGGTATATGTATACCACAGAATACTGTTCAACTACAGAAAGTAGTGGTGATCTATCACCTCTTATATTATCCTGGATAGAGATTGAGCCCATCATTCGAAGTGAGATATCACAAGGATGAAAAAATATGCACCACTGTACTCACCATTATATTGGTACTAACTGACCAACACTAAGATGCTCACATGTTAGTAATACTCATTGGGTGCTGGGAGGGGTGGAAGGTGGGAGGGGTAAACCCACAACTAATGGAAGTGGAACACACTGTATGGGGGAGGGACATGCTTGTAGCCCTGGCTTGGGTGAGGCAAATACATTACATGTAACCAAATTTTTGTGCCCCAGTAATATCCTGAAAAAAAAAAATTGAAAAGAGAATTCTTCCAAACTCATTCTATAAGGCCAGTATTACCCTTATACTGAAACCAGAGAAGGACTCAACAAGTAAACTACAGACCAATATTCCAGGTGAACATAGACACAAAAATCCTCAACAAAATACAAGCAAATTGAATCCAATTTGCACATCAGAAAGATAATACACCATAATCAAGTGGATTTTTATACCAGGGATGCAAGGATGGTTCAACATTTGCATCACATAAATGGAATTAAGGACAAAAACCATACAGTCATCTCAGTCGATGCAGAAAAAAGCATTTGATGAAATTTGGTATATCCTTTCGTGATAAAAATCATGATTACACTAGTCATTGAAGGAAAATACATCAAAATAATAAAGGCCAGATATGACAAACCCACAGCAAATATACTGAACATGCAAAAGTTGAAAGCATGCCAATATCATACTGAACAGGCAAAAGTTGAAAGCATTGCTGCCTAGAACGGAACAACACAAGGATGCTCCCTTTCACCAGTCTTATTAAACATAGTACTGGAAGTCCTAACCAGAGTAGTTAGGCAAGAGAAAACTAAAAGTTATCTAAATTGTAATGGAGGAAGTCTAATTATCCCCATTCACTGATGATATGATTTTATATCTAGAAAACCCTAAAGACTATACCACAAAACTCTTAGATTTGGTAAATGAATTCAGTAAAGTTTAAGGATACAAAATCAACATACAGAAATCAGTAGCATTTCTATACTCCAATAATGATCCAGCAAAGAACCAAATTAATAAGGTAGTCTCATTTATAATAGGTACCAAAAAATAAAATGCCTAGGAATATATTTAACCAAGGAGATGAAAGATCTCTACTATGAAACCACAAAACATTGATGAAAGAAATTGTAGATGACACAAACAAATGGAAAAACTCCCTTGCTCACAGATCAGAGGAATGATTATCATTAAAATGACCATACTGCCCAAAGTAATTTACAGGCCCAATGTAATCTCTATTAAAAAAATATCAATGTCTTTTTTTCACAGAATTAGAAAAAACAATTCTAAAGTTCATATGGAAAGAAAAAAGAGCCTGAATATCCAAGACAAGCTTGAGCCAAAGAACAAAGCTGGAGACACCACATTGCCTGACTTTAAATTATAGTACAACACTATAGTAACCAAAACATCATGGTACTGGCATAAAAATAGATACATAGATAATTCAAAAGAATATAATTAAATAAAGCAACACACTTACAGCCAACTGATCTTTGACAAAATCAATAGTAGACACTGAGGAGAGTACACCCTATTCGATAAATGGTATTGGGAAAATTGGATTACCGTATGCAGAAGAATGTAAGTGGACCTCTATCTACCACCATATACAAAAATCAACTCAAGGTAAAGACTTGAATGTAAAATCTGAAACTATAAAAATACTATAAGTAAACCTACTGAAAACTCTTCTAGACATTAATCTAGGCAAATAATGCATGAGTAAGACCTCAAAAGTACAGGCAATACAAATAAACATAGACAAATGAGACCTAAGTAAACTACAAAGCTTCTGGACAGCAAAACAACTAATCAATGGAGTGAACACAAAACCTGCATAATAGGAGAAAATATTTACAAACTATTCATTTGACAGAAGTTAAATATCCAGAATTTACAAGGAGCTCAAATATCTCAACAACAACAACAAATAACACCATTGACAAGTGGCCTAAGGACATGAATAGACATATTTCAAACAAAGACAAACATGGTCAATGAGCATATAAAAAATGTACAAGATCACTAATCATCAGAGAAATGCAAATTAAAACCACAATGAGATATCTTATACCAATCAGAATGACAATTATTAAAGATAAAAATATCAGATGAGTGCAGGAATGTAGAGAAAAGGAAACTTTATACACTGTTGGTGAGAATGCAAATTGGTGCAATCTCTATGGAAAACAGTATGGAGATTTCTCAAAAAACTAAAACTAGAACTACCATATGATCCACCAATCCCATTACTAGGTATATATCCAAAGGAAAACAAATCAGTATGCGAAATAGATACTTACACTAGCATGTTTATCACAGCACTATTCAGAATAGCAAAGATATGGAATCAAGTGCTCATCAATTGATGAATGGATAAAGAAAATGTGGCACATATACACAATGAATGCTATTTGGTCATAAAGAAGAGTGAAATCATGTGTTTTACAGCAACATGGATGGAAGTGGATGTCATTATGTTTAGTGAAATAAGCCAAGCACAGATTGATAAATACCATGTTCTAACCCATATGTAGGAGCTAATAAAACTTGATCTCATGGACATAAGAATAGTCTCACCAGAGACTGGGAAGGGTGAGTAGGGAGTAGGGGGAATGAAGACAGGTTGGTCATGGGTACAGGCAAACAAAAATGAAAGA